GATAACCCTCCGAGGTGTCTGAAAAGAAGATGGCGCCGTGATCTCCTAATTTAGACATACTATTAGAGTGCTACCGAAGGGTAGTTTCTCAACATGTGTTTCATGTCATTATATCCATGTGCGAATATACTAGATGTATTTTTTTTTTATATATACAGTTGTAAATATCATATAAATATAAATAAAAAAAAAGTTTTAAGCTTTAGATCGGTTTAAAATTAGTTAAAAAAAATTATAACAGCCCGAAATTGCCAGAAAATATTTTATATTCGAAGTACAGGGCTAAGTGAAAATTCTGTGTGGCGCGCACCAGATTTTTTAATTCCTAACAAGTAACGGGCGCCCTTGTCGTGGTCGACATACCGGAAAAATTGCCCGATCGATCGAAATTAAACCCGGCACTGGATTTAGAAAAAAAAAATATTTTATGTAAATTATAAAATGCCGAATCTTATATCATTGAGGAGAATTGGTTAATGAAGCGAAATAAAAATTAAGCTTCAACAATTACGTGAGATTTTGAACAATTAACCGAATTCGCAGACCTTGGTTTCTTCTTCAAAAATTAATTAAAATTATAATAAAATAAGGTGGGAGAATCCTTCATTTTATACAATTGACTTTTGAAAATGTCTCAAATGTTCAGGAATGATGCATATTTGTCACAATAATCCCATAATGTAAATATTGTTTTGAGGTTTTGATAGGTTATCATTAAAATATAGATAGAGAGATAAAAGAAATTCATTTGTTTTTGGGGAAGTTCACCATACAAATAGAGCCTACCTTGGCTATTGTGTTATATACATTTCATTTGAAAATAAATAAAATTTACAATACTTTTACGTGTAGAATGGGTTTTACAAAACATGATTAACAGTAGAAATTAAAAACAAAAAAAAACGATTAGTGTATAATAATAGTTATTTGAATCTGTTACTATGGTAGAAACAATAAAAACTAAAAATATTTATATATTTAAACAAAATATTACTTTTAAGGTAAACTAAAAACAAACTTAATTGAACATGGGCTATAATCAACAATTTTGTGTATGCACTTTGGTACTCCCATCATATAATAGTAAACTTTATTTAACTTATCTATACAATCGATATTCAATATAGTTTCGATGTTGTAGTTATCAGAAGATTATATCTATCTATCATTAAAATATAGAGAAATACAATAAAACTGTACAGTTGCTCAACTATTGGGTTGGCAAATAAGTCCTTTCGGTTTTTCTGTTCATTTTTATGTCAATACTAGCTGTACCCGGCCACGCGTTGCTGTGGCTTATTCTGGTTAAAAAAAAAAAAAGAAGTAGAAAAGAAATTAGATGTTTCTAATATATTTCATGTACCAATTCTTGTAAATATGCGATATTCTTTGTTGTTTCATTCTTTGTATAGATATAGAGATTGTCTGGTTTTGCAACTATTCCAGGTCTCTAAATCTTCCAAGAAAAATTACTAAGAGCTTAAAACATTATATCTCTGCACCAAATCGTCCGATTTTAGTGATTTTTATTTATTTGCAGGGAATCAAAGAAGCTTTCAAAAAATGATGGGTGATCAAACAACAATCAAATGATCAAACAACAATTGTGTTCTTCTTGAGTTATTCGCAATTATAGTTCTGAACCCATCCTAACTTTTTTTACATACTCTTTTCGCCGAAGGATTTTATATACATCAATCAAAAGGGCTTCAAGGAGAAGACGTTAGCCAAGTTTAATTAAAATCGCTACATTCCGGAGGGTGGTTAAGGGATAAAAAAAACATATAAAAACACTCGTGATTGCGATAGAAACATTTTGTCAATATTCCAAAGCGATCGGTATAGAAGTTTCAGAGATTAGTGGTTTTCAACAAACGAATATTTACGTTTTTATTAATGTAGATGATACACTTCATATCTGATGAATTAATGTCAGGTAAATTCTTTACACTGTTTTTAATATGTCAAAACCTATATTATTTCCCTATATTTTCCTTTTATTTTGTCAGCTATTTGTAAATATTTGATTTAAGTTATGGACACACTATTCTATTTATTCATATTTTTCTTATAGATATATAGTCTCAGAATAATAAAAGTATTCTCATTTCATTTATAATTTAGCTCAATGATTAAATTTTGAATGATTAATTTAAAAAAAAAAAACAAGAAAGATATTTTTAAAATTCGGCATTTAATCCCTGCCAGGCCATGTCAAAGAAGACTACAATTAGCTGATGTTAGAGACCATTTGATTGCACGTTGATTCTCTCCAAAAAAAAGTGAAAAATTATGTTAAATTTAATAATCATATTTAAATTTTAATTAATAAAATGCTGTAACATCAATAAAATGGTGCAAATCGAGTGGAACTATCAATTGTATCATTATATTCACTGACACACACCATGTAAGTTTGCTACAGTGTACTACAACACTGTTGCAACCTTCAGTGAGTTATCATATGTGTTAGATAAATAGATAGAAAAAAAAACTTCATTCTGGGACTAAGTCCCTTTATAATAACAATTGAACAAAATAATAGAATACTACTGGCCTAAAAGTTTGAAACAATTAATAAAATTGATAAAATAAACTAAAAAGTAAAGAAAAACTTAGGTGAACAAGCTATATATATTGCTATGTTCCTGGCCTCGCGTCTCTACGGCGAGTAAGGGGTTCCAGGAACCGCATTTATTTGTATTTATATGTATTTATATCGGTCCCAGAAGGGAACCGATCAACTTAAAATATATTAATGATGTATTTAAATGTTAGATACCACAGACCCCCTACTGTAGTATCCTAGATTGAACCATATACTCTTTATTGGATTTCCTTTCTAAAGGTATCATGTTTATAAATGTACTATTTGTTTCTATTACTAATTGGTGGCATGCAAGGTAGAATGTAAAAGTACTACGTTGGTTTACTAACTATTATATTTACAAGCTTAAATAAAACCAAAATCATCTATATACAAAATAATAACTAAACCTATATACATAATGAATAGTTAAGAATCATACTAGAGGAGAATGCTTGATGTATTGATTTTATTAATTAATGATTGATGGTTGCCAACACAAATTTACATTAGTATAACTAAATGCTTGTTACCACTTAGCTGGTCCTTCATAATGTTTCTAGCCGTCATATCTGGATTCCCTGTCTCTGCTCTCCTTCAGCGTCTAGTCCGTCCATCTGCTCTCTCCGGCTGTCTTCATCTTCCTCCCTCGACTCCCCCGCTTGAAGTCCCCAGAAGAAGTCCTCTCAGCTCCAAGTTCCCAGAAGAAGTCCTCTCTCCTCTGAGTTCCAAAAAGAAGTGTCCTGTCCAAATTCTCTATCTCCCACCTTTTTTCATCCCCCTCTCTTTTGGCAGCCTTTTTCCTGATTGGCTGAATATTCTCAGCCTAAGGGATGACCACGCCCTCTCCCCCAGGCCAAGGTAAAGCAGCAGGTACAGACTTAGGTATTTCTGGTGGAAGGTGTGAAAAGGTCTTTCGGGATCCTGTTTAAACACTTGTCGGTCTTTGTCGGTGGTCCTTAAGGGTTTTTATTACCACTTACAAAAGGTTGTCCTAATGGGTTACCCTCCCTCAGGTACCCAACCGCCAGATGTTGGGTTTATACCTAAATATGTTTATATTTAGGTAATACCTAAATTACCTTAATGTTTATTTGTTTATACCTTTAAACTAATTATTCCACCGACGGTCTTTACAATACATAGCAATATATATATTTAAGACAGATAAAATTATGTACTGAGCATTTAAAACTATGGAATAAACACTTAAAACTATGAACGAATCACTTGAAACTATGAACAAAACTATATATAAAGGTTGAACAACATAAACATACACTTTGAGTAACGAAGAACGAAAAAGAGATAGAATAAGTTCATTTCATAAAAAAAACTTTACTTGTATATATATATATATATATATATATATATATATATATATATATATATATATATATATATATATATATATTATATATATATATATATATATATATATATATATATATATATATAAAAGTTAGTTGTAATTGAATAAAAAAAAATAGATGTATTGAAATTCCTACGTCGATAGTAGGAAATGCATGAACTATCTCTTACCAAGTATTATCATATGATTATATGATTACTACACAATACATATATAGTATTAATAGTTAGCTGGTATCTGACAGTTTTTGGAACAGGAATTAGAATAGAAGGTTTTCAAATGTGGATACGGAGGGGGCATGCCGAATTTTGATCTGCCGAATGGGGGAATTCTAAAAGTTGACAGAGCGGGCTATAAAAGAGTTTTGAAATGAGGCAGATCTATGAGAAGGGATAGGTCAGAGGGTCGAGATCTTGTAGTGAATGAATGGATTGAGGACTTAAATTGGAGAAAGTTGTAGGCATAAGAAGGACGATGATTGTTGATGATTTGATAAAGGAATGTGCCTAGGAAATATTGTCTTCTTAAGGAGGGGAAGATCCACTCTAACTCAGTGTAGTGGTGGAAACGTGTGTTATCTAATGACATATGATTTAAATAGTGATTATTAATTTGCACTTGTAAAACTACGTTTAATTTAATTCTTTATACAAAGAATAAAATTTCGTTAAAACAATTCGTTAAAAAAAAATCATAGTTTAATATTAATATTTAAAATAAAAAATTGTATTTATTTATGCATATTATTGATAATTTTAAATTTTACATTAATTTGATAATTAAAACTATTTTAAATACGTAATTTCTGTCGACTAAGACATAGCGTTTTCGTACAGAAAAAATTCTTAAAATCTGTATTATTTTCATTTAAAAATCAGTTCGAATTTTTTCATGATCGCAATACAATCTTACTACATGTGCCTTTATTAAAAGTAATACATGTTAAATTATTCCCGCCAAAACTTTCTGAAGGAGATCGCAAATGGCAACCAAGGAACAGAAGAGGGGATAGCCGTGAGACTTTTTGGATTGTGGCCACATCAGTACTACTGAGACCAGCGATTCAACACCACTATTTTTATTCTACGGTGGCTTACAGTTGATGCTTCGTCATGATACACACAGTGAAAATAAACCAGCGAATTTCAAAATGGATGAACCACCCAAACGTTCAAATAATCGGCTTTCTCAGTGGGATCAGTGTTTACTGTTTCACTATTCAAATCTATGCAGCTATTATGCCTAACTTTATCCAGCAGAAGGTGTGCAGTTCCGATGTTCAACCTGACCTCAATGCAACGTGTAACAACACCAATGCAATAAATGAAGCTACCGGTATGTTTTAATACAGATCATGCACATAAGTTGTTAGCAACATAAGTTAATATAAATATTTAATTATGTGTAATTAATTGGGACTATATTTTGAAAGTACTGGAGATGCCGAGTTTTCGTTTGGCACATATCCCAGCGAAAGAGGTGATAACTAAGAGAGTTTATTGGTACCGAAAATGGTTAGATTTCGAGGATAGTTTTAAAATTAATTTTTATACTGCAAATATCGCTGATCTGCGCGGAAAGTTGACTGTTGTTAGATATGTGGTAGCAGACTTAGAAAAACAAAATAACCTAGACAAATGTCTTCATTCAAGTTTTTCTGTTTACGCAGGACTATATTCAGTGGGCACTGTTACATCCTATTTTAATGATAGTTTCGATATTGCAATTCTAGTTTCAATTTTTCGATATAGGACAGAATTGCTCGATTTAAGCGTAAAACCATGGATGGTGGGGAACAACGATAACTGTCCGGTATGTAACTGTCAAGAAAAATATGATGCAATTCACTTTTTGGGGACTTGTCACATGTACTGTGAGTTAAGAGAGAAATGTTTTGGGGAATTCTGTTCTCCGAAAGAATTATTTGTTTTCTTAAAGGGTTCTAACTGGAAAGCCTTAACTAATTATGTACAGCAGGCCACATTGCAAAGATGTCAATTGGTCAGATAGTAAACTATTGATACAATATAGTATTTATTTATTGTAACGTTTGTTTTATTGTTATATTGTATTTGATGGTTATTCTTATTGTTGTTGAAATTAGATTTCTTATTTATTGGATTCATGATGTATTAATGTTTTTTTTTTTTGAAAACTCTATTTAAACAACTGAAACAGTGAAGGAAGAAATTGCTAGAATGGGTATATCAATATAAAAATCTCATGAAGTCTCAAATTTATGCTATGAGAAAGCCAGTTTTTATAGATAGCTCTGATACGAAGACACTAATGCAACAGCATCCTAGAAAAAAGTAAACAAAAATTTGAGAGAAAAACACTCCGCACTATATCCAGAAGGATCTGAGATCAGAGTAATAACAAATGGAGAATAAATACCAATAAAGAACAGCTTAAAGAAACTGGTAAATCAATACCATATGATTTGAAGGCAAGGATGTTAAGACATACGGGACATGTAGCTCTTAGTAATTCATCTGGAAGTCTCTACGTAACAATAAGTATATTGTTCATTTACATTTTATTGAGTTTATTTGTACCGCTCAATTTTCAATAGAAATTATTTTCTGTCCATGTTGGGGTATTATAAAATTTTTGAATTGCATTTTTAGAGCTAAAGCAAAAGCTTACAGATAACAAATCATGAATACCATTAAAGTAACAAAAGTCCTATTTATTATATTATCGGTTGATTATGGACTGTACGGATGTTAGTTATTTAACTGTTGATTTCCATTGCAAAGTTTACTTAAATGAAATTACGAGATTTTCATTGCCTACTATGAATAGATCAAAAGTTGTCGCACTGATTGTAAGTAGATACTGTTGAAATATCACAAAGGGAAAATTCATCAAATTATTCACTAATTTAATTTCCTTTAAGGTTATATGATAAATTTTCGGAATAAACGGATGGTAGATAATTAATTATTTAAATATATCAGATCTAGAGTTATTAAACTACAGTAAATATAAGTAAGATTATAAACATATCCATGAAATATTTTTATAATTCACTTCTTCTTTCACACAAGTACAATAAAATAGTTTTTTAAACAATGCATTTGTCTTGATTAGGCGGATTTTAAATACTTTTTTTCAAAATTAGAAAAAAAAAATAAAGTTTACAATTAGTCAGAAAAATTCATTTAATTTCCTTGAAAACATGTGACTTACTTTAAATAATATTAGTTTTCAAAATTTATTATCTATAATTTTTTTCGCCAGTCATCGTTAGCTTCTACAACTTATATATTGTTTTTTCTAAACTTTCCAACCATGTATTATAAGTATACCTTCTGACTAGTATTTCCAGAGATCCATTTTAATCAAAATCGTTCGAGCCGTTTTTGAGAAAATTGTAAAAGATGGACTTAGGAGACCTCAAAACGAATATTTAAGTTGAAAACTCAGAGTCAAAAATTTTCACGATCGCATTACTGTCCCCTACTGTATATTTCATATATACGTAAGTGAAAGTAAAAAGAAGTTACAAATTAGTTGTTAATTAGCAGTGATTACTTTGTATGTAGATCATTTTAAATCGTTGAGGCGAATTGAACTAATCGTTCTAGAGGTTGTGAAATATTATATAACAGGGAAATTGGGCAGAAATCCTTAGAGGTTATGGGATTAGAGGTTTTATTCTGTGGACGAACAACATTTTTTTTTTAGGTACCGGAAAAAAAAGTCAAACTTTAAAGTGAATATGGTAAATTTTGAACCTCAGTTATGTTTGATCAAATGCGAAATTCCTCTAAAACAATAAAATATTTTATGACACTAAATCAAACCAGTATCATACATTCATTTAGAGTCCTTATTAATTTATTAAATTATATTAAATTTATTGAATCATATTTATCATTTAGATGATTGATGTTAATATAATTTCTATATTTACACGTTCATATAATTTTTATGTTCTTATTTAATATTAATTAGTTTATTGAGCATATTTTAAATCAAAAACTCGTGTTTTTATTAAGGTGATTATTAAGCTTATTGTTAATTCTGACGCATGCGTATATCATAATTAATACCGGTAATGTTGGTAATTATACAGCTGATAAACATAAACCGACTTGATAAAGGCAATTAAGTTAGCTATAGATCAAGTTAAGCAACATATTATGTATTTAAATCTCTTTTATTAATTATTAATTTATGGTTTAATTTATTTAACATTATCCTTTATTATTTATTTATTATTTCTGAGTAATCATCTGCAATAATTATCCATTGGCATCCCGAAATAATATTCCCTGATAAAATTGCAATACCTGCATATGTGTTTATTAGCGACTGTGCAGAAACTGAAAAGCGTATTTTGTTTTAAGCTGTGGATGATGAAACTTGATTGCTAGTCCATATTAAAGATCCTTTTTTGACAAATTATTAGCATCTGTCTAAAATATCGTAATGGTTTCATTTTATGTTCACTACAAATATATTTAAACTCAACATGAACGTTCATAAGAGCTATGACATGGGAAATTCTGAGCCAAGAAATCGAACCAGTATTAATAAATATTGTCCTTTATATCAATATTTTTAAATATTATTTATAATTATCCTGACAAGTTTCCTTAGAAACGTGTTCCTTTCATTTCAGTTTACTTTTCTCTTAAAGTATAGCTTCCATAGTTCAGCTTGCGAAGTCAATGGATACGGATATTAAATCATGAAAAATAGAATTAATAATTTACACATATTCAAATTTAGTAGGAAGCATTATTAAATCTACATAATGTCCTTGACTTTTCTTCCTGCTTTAAAATTCCTTCGGAAAATTCAAGGTAAACTGAAAAATGGATTCATATATGCTCATCATTTAATTTGTTTAATGAAATCGTTGGAGGACGAAAAAAAAATTCTCTTTTCAAATATTATTTGTTATTTTTATTTATATGATATTTACAACTGTATACAAAAAATACATCCAGTAAATTCGTACATGGATATAATGTACATGAAACACATGTTGAGAAACTACCCATTGGTAGCATTCTAATGATATGTCTATATTAGGACATCACGGAGCCATCTTGTTTTTAGGAATAGGAAGCAAAGATAGAAACAAGAGGGTTAGGATCGTTATGAAGCTTATTATGGAAGGACAGATATCAAGATTAGGCCAAATCTGATACATAAGGAACATTAAGGTCATTGTGGATGATTTCATTTATAACAAAGTAAGGAGCATTGAGGATTTTATGAAGGATTTTGGATTGTAAGGATTTTATATGAGAGGAATTTGAAGGTTTAGTAGAGCCCCATACCTCAACTCCGTAAGTCCAAATAGGCCTTATTATTGTATATGAGTCTTTTGTAATTAATTAGATGGTTAGAGCGTTTGTTCAGGTATAGTCATAGGTAACGGATTTGTTCAACAGGAATAAGTGAGCTGTTGTTAAAGGATACTGAAGGACAGGAAGTCAGTGGTTTATGACTACTTTTCAAATATAAATGCTTTAATAAAATATTTTATTAGTAATATTTACTGTTTATTTGAAATATCATCCAGGAAAATGTATAAAAGTTAACATTCATGTAACTGAATTTGCATACAATTGGTGCTTTCGTACCTTCACCATAAAAATAAGTAAATAATTCCCAGGTCTCACAAGTATGCAAATAATTCCCAAAATATCTTGTTACGTTACTAATATTTTAAATATACATCATACTAGATATGACATATATCTATCTATCTATCTATCTATCTATCTATCTATCTATCTATCTATCTATCTATCTATCTATCTATCTATCTATCTATATCTATATATATATATATATATATATATATATATATATATATATATATATATATATATATATATATATATATATATATATAGATATATATATTTAAACTTTAACTTAAACTTAATTGGGAATAAGGTCACTTAATTATTATTCAATAAACTATTGAATGTTCAATTCTTCTGTTTATTGACGTTTCGATCCCGGTATTTTCTTTTTATTAGTCAACCATAGGATCCTCTTCAAAGCTAAAATTTTAAGAAATAGAGCTTCGATCAGGCCAGGGACACACCGACAGTCTCAGCACCGTTCACTAGCACATATATTAAGGTACTGTTAAGAGTATATCATAGTCTTCATAGAACATATGTACATATAAAATAAACGATATAAACACTATAAACAAAATATGAACAAATATGAAAAATATTATCAAATTCCTACATAATGAAAGACTTAAACAACATATATGACAAGTTTATAAATTATGATCCTTTGCAGATTTATTAATATTTTTTATTTTATTTTTTTATTTACTTTATTTTATTTTTTTATTAATAGTTAATTTGGTTATTAATTTATTGATTTTACTCATATTTTCTTAAAGTGTATTTATTTATCTATTCCATATTATTATCTATAAGTGTCTATTGTTATTTTTATTTATTTATTTTATTCTATCAATCCTTTGAATTAGTTATCTTTCTCCTTTTTTTTTGTGCCAACCATCCAAAAAGTATAAAAGTAGTGTTATTTATATTATCGGGCGCTGATGACCAAGATGTGTTGCGCCAAGACATCAAAACAAACAAACAAAATATAAACAATTTTATTTTAAATTAATTTATTTTGGTAAGGAAAATAGAAAATATTTGATACCCTCTTCTTCTGAAGACGGCTATTCCCACAATGTGACAACATCCATAATTAAATAACACTAACTCACAGCTTACACGAGGAACAAAACACAATGAAGGGAATAACTTAGGTTAGAGGAGATAATGGAGGTTTTGAAGCTACCCTATATTGAGCAAGTACTATAATTTGTTTTATTAAAACGAGTATTTGGTCACCTATGTTTTATAATAACTGGAGATATAGTAATCACATCCTAGTGCCTAAAAATTGTTTACTTGTAAGTCCTTGTAAGAAATATATTGCGAAAATAATTAATATGTAGCAAAAAAGTAAAAGGAACTAAGAATGTTTATCAAGTTAAAGATTAATTTTTTCTACAAACAAATTGTGTAGTTTCCAGGTTTTTTTTTTTTTTTTTACACAATCAGTCAGAATGTCAATAGTGCCTCGGAGTGTCATTCCGACTGAAGGGTCCGCTTTATATTAAAAATTCTTATAAAAATGTGTAATGTATACTCCTTCTTGCAGTTTGTTATATTATAGCTATTTATTCTAGATATTGTAACTATAAGAGGCATCATTCGGGAAGCAGTCCCAGTAGTCATCCTGTTGTTGGCCGGATCGTGGAGAGACGCCACTGGACAATACAAGCCCTTGATATACTCATCGCTCATTGGCGGAATCCTAGGTGTGTCCGTACTGCTCCTGGCGGCTTTGAAATGGTCTATGTCGGTCTGGACGGCGTCCATCATCGAATCCGTCCTCAACGGTATATTTGGTGGAAACAAAGTCATGTACCTAGGAGCTACTTGCGCCATGACCGATCTAACTACCGAAGATCAGAGGAGTAATAGGTTAGTAATTATTCAAACATAGACTCAGTATGAGATTGAGGTCATGTAAATAAAATAATTTTCGTGAATTAAACTTGAAATAAATATAAATAAATTTTTAATAAATCAATACTGCGGGCGCACAATAATTGAAGGACAGATTTTTTTCATTCATTAAATTTCATTATTTCCATTCATAATTTTCTCAATTTTATAGATTCCAAAAAATCGTGACCTTGGATTGAAAAGGTCTAACTGCATTTAGTATAATTTTGAGAAACAGAACTTCAAAGTTACAATGCCTACATACTAACAATTTTATTTGGTATTTTGTTGCCTCTACCCTGTAGGGTCATTGGCAACACCTTTAAATTACACTCTGTTGTAGACTAACAATTTTGTTTGTACAATACTTTGAAACAGTATACTTGCGGTCGAAGAGACTCTGGGATTCAGGCAACATGTACACTCATCAATTCCCAAGTACAGCTCCTTGGATTTGCTAATGGTATTGGCGTACCTGGTCACTAGCAGCAGTCAAAGAAGCATTCATAACATTGAAAAATACTGCTGAAAGAATGGGACTGATTGTTAACTACAATAAAACAAAATATATGTGCGCAAACCCTCAACCGATGAGTACCATATCCAAGTTGATCGGCAGAGTGTGGAGAGAGTTGAGGAATTCGTGTACCTATCGTCCATGGTCAAGCAACAAAATTATACAGGAGCAGAATTGGAGAAGAGGATTATGGCGACAAATCGTCGTCATTTTGATATGAAAAAGCATATGAGTGTTGATCTACTCATTAAATCCGCGAAAGTCAGGCTGTATAAGACTCTCATCCGGCCGGTTCTCACATATGCTTCAGAAAACTTGACCCTTACACATACATACATATACGGCGCTACATCCCGTCACCGAGACTGGGCCTCCCCCAAAAGCTTTCGCCAGTCGATACGATCAGCTGCAGCAGCTCTCCAGTTTCGGATTCCCAGTAGAGCTCGTGCGTCCGATGTCACTGAGTCCTCCCATCTTACATTTGGCCTGACAACCTTTCTTCGTCCATGCATCTTTCCGGACAGCATTTTCCTGGGTATCACCGAATCATCCATACGTGCTACGTGCCCGGCCCATCGAAGTCGTCCTATCTTGATAAACTTCACCAAGTCAATGTCCTTATAAAGTCAAGCGAGTTCGGCATTTTTCCTTCTTCTCCAAATTCCGCCATCTCTAACAGGACCAAAAATCCTTCTCAAGATTGATCTATCAAAGATCTATCAGAAGTTTATTTTCATCTTGCTTCTTCAATGCCCATGCTTCTGATCCATAAGTTAAAACAGGGCGGACCAAGGTTTTGTAGAGAGTGATCTTGGTCCTGTTAGAGAGGAACCTGCTTCCAAAATGCTTTGAAAGGCTAAAGTACCTCCGTTTTGCCGTTGCTATCCTTCTTTTGACTTCTCTAGAGATGTCGATGTCGGACCCTTACTCAAGCACATGAATTCTCTCTCCTGAGATTCGAAGGAAGAGTCCTAAGGAGGATATACGGCCCAGTTATATTTGATGGAGAGTGGAAACGCCGTTCTAACAATGAACTGAGGCTGCTTTATTAGAAAATTGGATGTAGTACAGTTTATAAAGCTAATGAGACTTAGATGGGCTGGACATGTAATAAGAATGGAGCAATACGGAATCGCTGCCAAAATCCTAAGGGAGTTAATCTTTGGTGCGAGAAGAGCAAGACGGCCACAACTTCGGTGGGAGGACTGCTATAGATGCCTGAACCATATTGGATATCCGCAGTCGGAAGGTAACAGCAATTGATAGAAACAATTGGCGGTTGACACTGGAGCCAACTTCAAGGGTCGTAGTGCCGGATAAGTAAGTAAGTATACTTTGTACCTCACCCAAAAACCTTCTTCTTCTGCATGTATCTGATTTAGGATGCTTCTCCTCATCCTACAAACAAGGGTGGACTTCTGTGCTTCGGCGTCTTTCTGGTTAACCATTTTTTCTGACACTGTAGCATCTATTCTGGAAATGAGACGGTCACCACCTTTCAAAAAATTATTGAGTTCACCTACCTCGCCACCGAAGCACTCCAGATCCGTCATTTCATCCATTCCAAGCCATTAGTACCACCTTCCGCCAGTGTGTCTCTCGGTAACGGAGTGATTTCTTGAATCTGAGGGATTACTTGAGTAGATAAGAAATGGGGGAGCTGGGACACCAAAAAGAGCAGCCAATCAAAAGCCAGGATTTAAGTGACTTTATCATGCGGGAAGTTTGAATTCAAATTTGAACTACGGCACGCTGCCTTTTCGGACCTCTAACCAGCCTTAACCACCATGTGGCTAGTCACGTGACCACTAAGCCACGCCCATGTTTACTTCTACCCTGCTTGAACTATTGGGTTACGGCCCAATTTAGTCACGTGACCACCAGTCACGCTCCATTTCGATCCTGTGACCCTCATATTTTCCCCTCCACCCCTCTCTCTAAGAGGCTGAGTGTACCCGACCGTCATCTCCTTTTCAGGTACTGGGGCAGGTAAATTTTCAGGTAAATGGGCGTGACTTAGTGGTCACATGACTGGCCACGTGGTGGTTAAGGCTGGTTTGAGGTCCTAAAAGGCAGCGTGCCGTAGTTCGAATTTGAATTCAAACTTCCCGTCATGATCACGTCAATGTAATCCTGTCTTCTGATTGGCTGTTCTTTTTGGTGTACCAGCTTTCCCATTTCTTATCTACTTACTTGAATCTGTGGACTTTCAGGCATCTGAAGGACTTCCGGTGCGTTTGGTACTAACGAGATAATAATAGCATCTGTCACCATCTCAACTATTCCTTGTAAAAGAGAAAGAAAAAATACCGAAAAAAAAACAGAAGAAGATTGTAATTTAGAAAGGCAGGTCACTAATTATGGTCTACTGATTTGTCCCGGGTTTCGGCACCAGTTATGCGAAGGTGGATTGAAATAATTTTAAAAAAAGGGAAAGGGGTTGTGATACAACACCCCACGGCTTCAGAAACAATACTGCTTCATTTGTAAAGTAATACTACATTTAAAACTTTGTTTACATTCTGGAATGGAATTAAGAATGATACTGCCCGAGTCCGCTCTTTATCTTTATAAATATTATCATTATATATTTATTATATATATATTGTGTTTCTGTGGATTATAATATTGAAATGGAAATATAATGTTGTTCTAGGTTGATGATGTTCCAGGTTTCAGTTTCAGTGGCTATTTTCACAGCCAATGCTGTGTCTGGTTATTGTCTTCATCTTCTTGGCTATATGTGGTTCTTCATCATGGTCATAGCTCTTTTCTTTGTTGCTTTTGTACTTGTGGTGTTCTTGAAAGACGGCGAGAAAAGACTCGATAGGAACGAACAAGCTAAATTATTTCAAAAAATGAAATCCATTACTAAATCAAGACCTAATAACTTGGTTGTTTGGCTCATGCTTATCGGCTGTGTTATGATCAACGTCTGTAGCCTTGGTAACATACAATATAATATTAATATTTAAATTATATATTAATCCTGAAAGAAATATTTATAGGAATGCAATATTATCAATATGGTATTATATATTATTAGGTATTATATATTAGGATCTCGGGAACGATAGATTTTAATGAATAAGTATCAAACGAAAGGAAATTTTATATAGGGGTATTATAAGCCTAGCTAAAGGCTCCTCGAAATTCCAGGAAACAGTGTTATGAAGGAATTTTTAACTCAAAAACTTTATTGATAACTAAAAAATTATATATATTTTTTCTGGATCAGACCCATAATTATTTAAAACGTTGCTTACTACAAATACATAAAGTAAAATGTATCAAGGTCTTTGCTTTAAAGTTAGGATTAGTAGAATTCACGGAATTCCAACTGAAACATTCCGGTTGGGAATACCTTTATACTGATTGGTCAAAAATTGAAGATCGAATCGGTGCGGCCACCATTTCTAACAATGTACAAATGTTCTCATATTTTTTCTGGTAAGTTGTATGTCATTCTTTGTTATTTGGCAATGATGACTTCTAATTAAACAACAATTGAATTTATTTGTTGTATTTACAAATTACATGTTTACATGTTAACATTTCGGGATATTTACTCCAATCTTCAGAACTACAATCCCAATGATTTTTTTGTTGATACACGGCTGAAAAATTGAGTTGAGTTAAACAATTAGGGACCAGAATTTCACAACACATTACTAACTGTAAATATATAAAAAAAAAAAAAAAACATGAACACAACAGCTTTAGCACATCACAGCATAAAATAACATCATAAGTTCAATTTTAATAAACCACAGATATTAGGCATAGAACCAAAAGACGCTAATTCAAAAATTACTTGAAGCTGTACACATAAAAAAAACAATTAACAGTAAATTATAGAACTGACACTAAACATGTATTAACACATTATGCTGACATATTAAACAAAATTAAAATTTAATAAAAATGAAATTGCAGCTACATACAAAATAAACATTTAACAACAATAGTATAAAAATAAATATATCCAAATGTCAATTGTATTCACCATGGCAGACACCCAATAATTAGTCTAAAAGCATGATGTTGCTCTGGATATTATATACCTTAATTTATTATAACATGAATTTAGAACCTGACAATGGAGCACATTAGATTTAAGGTAATTAAAAATTTAATGCAACAATCCAATTCTTACATGTATTGTAACATGCACTATATTTTAACTCAATTGTTTTAGCCATGTATCAACAAAAAAAAACATTGGGATTGTAGTTCTGAAGATGAGGGTAAATATACCGAAACGTTGATATGTAATCATGTAATTTGGAAATACAACAAATAAATTCAGATGTTGTTTAATTGGAAGTCATCATCGTCAAATAAAAAAAGCAAATTTATATTTTTACATCTAAAGAACCTTCTATTAAAACTAGGAAAATTTCCTTTTCAACTAACTCATTAGTCACAGACACAGTTAGACATTTTAAAACATTGAAAAGTGTGGATGGTAAGATAAAACGTTTGTGGTCATCGGTTCAGTGTTACAAGCATTAATCTAGCCGTTATCATTTCTAAATAAGCAATCGAGGAAGTGACTCCAGTAAGGGAAGCTTTTCCAAAGTTGCTAAATAGAAAGTCTCTGGAGAAATTACAGGGTTTCTGTCATATTTTAAACGACAATACGTTAATTACAAGTGAAAGAACATGACGATGTAAACATCTGTGGATTTTCAAAGTGCTCGCAGAAGTACATAGTTTCGGTAATACATTATTAGGCAAATTAAGGCTGGGAAAATCCACGGTAATCTTTAATTAGTTTTGAAACTTTCTCACTAGACCACAAGTTTCCAAAATAACTGCAAAATTTTGAAAAAATAGCTGTAAACAGCCGAATCTACCACTACCCAGAAGAGGTAGACTGGGACGTTTCTCTCCTCCATACGCCAAACTCCATTGTCTACACCGACAACATGTCTACTGTTGCATAATGTTTCCAATTCCGATCAGGAGACTTTAGACCTACGATTTTTGGTCCCACAACAGGTCTTTAGACGGGGAATGGTCAACAGATATGTCTAAATAGACAAACTGAGGCATGTCGAGAGCAAAATCGCGCAACAAGTCAATTGGTGTGGACTAGGCTTAATACTTGAACTCTCGGAATGTTGTAGTACATTGTAATATCTTGAAAATCAAATAGATTTTTTTCATTTTTCATTGAAGTTTTCAATGATAAAAAAATGCTCGAAATGTCGAACAATACCTTATTTTTTGATATATATAGCACAAATTCGACATGAAATAGGGCTTAGTAGAAATTTTCTATCTTTAAATTCGTGTTATGACTATCGTGGAACACACATACTAGACTACTAGACTCAAAAGACAAGAACTTAACCGACGATACGGCCAATTATACAGATTATTGACCAAAAAATGTCAACTTTCAGTTGTCGACAAATTACTGATCTACAAGACAATCCTGAAACCTATTTGGACCTACGGACCTGGGGGACAGCTAAATTCTCTAACATCAAACG